GGGGGAAGGCGCAGGGTGGCCCGCGGGCCCGCTGGTTGCGGTCCGCCATTTTGCGTGCGGTGCGGGGTGGCCGCCATTTTGCGTGCTGTGCGGGGAGGCAGCCATTTTCTGTGCGGGGCGTCCGCCATTTTGCGTGCGGCGCTGCCACCGTCCTTTAGCGCGGGCTGAGGGCAGCGCTCTCCCCCCGTTGCAGAGGCGCGGGTGAAGGTGATGGCGCGGTTCTCGCCGGAGTGCGCCGTGGTGCTGCTGGAGCACCTGGACCCGCCAGCGCCACCGGTCCTGCTGAGCCATGCTGAGCCACCTGCCTCTGTCGCGGCTCTTTGAGCCCCAGGTGAGACCCAGAGGACGTCGTGATGCCCACTCCGCCCTGGGCAGCAGTGCAGATGCCATGCCTTCCCCAAAACAGGCCTTGTGCACAGCGAGAGGCGGCTGCCCCGCTTAGCATGCCTGTCGGTGCCCAGCAACACAGCTACAAGGTATTACGCACACCTCCCTAAGCATTTTTCCACTCTTCCCTAGAAAAAGGAAGAACCCAGCTTCACACCAGAAGATGCAGTTCTGGCATCTGTTGGCATCGTGAAGTGTAGCCCCGACCGCGGGCTGCTGGTGTCAGAGAGCATGTTCCTGGCCCTGGAGGAGCTGATCCAAGCATGCTGTGGTGAGTGGCGTGCGCTTGGTGAGGTTGGGGGCTTTAGTAGCCTGAAGATAGGAAATTCACGAGGCTTTTCATGAGTTAAAGTTAGGGAGAGTGTGCCCTGTGACAGGCACTGATTGAGGGTCATGTTTTTCTCCTGAATAGTGGGAGTCTTGACCTTGTGCATCACCTCGAGTGGATTAGTGCCTCTGCTGCCAAACAGGCAGCTTGCTGCTATAAAGGCGCTTCGCAGTCTGACATCAAAACTCTCATTTTGCTCTCTTTTGTAGCGGGTAGAAAAAACACTCCCTTACTTATCCAGCAACATCTAAAATGCTGTGAGCGATTGGAGTTCATGCATGCAGGGTTTTAGTGCTTGCTTCTTACTTCAGGAGCCTTTTCCTTTGTACTGGTACTCGTAACATGCTTCTCTTTAATGTTTTTTTTTTCATTTAGTTAAAATATATCCTAGTCAGGCCAGAGTCTGTAGGTTTTTTCAGGCTGTTTTTGTTTGGGTTTTTTGGGTTTTTTTGTTGTTTTTTTTTTTTTAAACAAACTTATGTAAACAATGGACAGCATTGGTCCATTTCAGAGTATGTTTGTTTTTCCAGCGGAAGATGAAGGTGTCCCCATGGTTCTGGTGTGCGGCCCAAAAAACACTGGGAAATCGACATTTAACAGATACCTGATTAATCTGTTACTGAATCGGTGAGTCTTTTCATGTTCTACAAGTTTTTAAGTACTGCATGGGATTCAGAAGAAGGAAAAAAAGTGCCTGCAAAGGTTCTCAGAAAAGCTGTTACAACTGGAAGGTGGCTTATCTTTTAAAAACAAACAAACAAAAATAAAAAAAATAGGCATTCTTGTCTTGGGTTCAGTTGTCTTGGGTTCAGTTGACTACTGAAACATTTTTATTGAAATACTACTAAATTGCTGTCTTGGAGTATGTGAACGAATTGGGCACCGAGCATTTAGAGTTCAGTAAGGAACTAGAATTTACAACACTTAAAAACACAGAGTAAGTTATAATTTGTTAGGGTCTTTGAAGATTCTTGGCAGAGCAGGGTGTAGAAGCTTATTCTCCTGACCACTGCATGCTTAAAATAAAGATTAGAAAGTTTATAAATTGCATATGGCTGGTCTCCGGGTGCCCAGTTAATGTGGGAGAGGCGGTACACTGATTACTGCCACCTCTGATTATCGTTCTAGCTACTTCTCTTAAGGCTGGATTGGGTATGGAGCTACTGTAATATAATCTTGAACTGTAGGTGAGCTTTTTACGTTCTCACTTAATACTCCCTCAAGTGGGGGAAGGAGAGAGGCAGGTGGTGCTTTGATTATGTTCAAGAATTTAATTTTGATGGCCTGGAACAAAATCACATTTTGCTTCTGATGTGTTCCACGTCGTGTGCTGTTTCTTTTTTTTGGTGGATGCTAACATACAGGCTTCTTTCACTGCAGCCTTCCCTCAGTTGAGTATATGGAATGTGACATAGGTCAAACCGAATTTACGCCGCCTGGATGCGTGTCTTTAAGTAACATAACAGAGCCAATTCTTGGTACGTGTTTCGCCATTTTCTGCAATTGCCAGAAACCTGTTTCATTTCCGGAAGGTGCTTTCTGAGTAGAGGCTGTACTTTAGGGGAAGTTGCCACATTTATCAAAGGTGTATATAGAAAATAAAACAAAGGCTGTAAAAGTTTTCTTGCTAGGGGCATCTAAGTTCCATGTGAAAATCTCGCTAAGTAACGTGGAGCTATTCTCCCTGCTTGTTCTTTCTGTTCTGAAGAGGGCAGAATATAGTTGTTTATAAAGTGGTGGAACAGGCTGTGGCATGTCAAAGTGGATTTTCAGCCTTTCAGATTTGAAAGGTCTCTTTGGGAAAGTCTATCCCAGTTTTTAGTATCCGTAGATAGTAAAACTAGCTTGAGAAATACAGAGTGGATTCACGTAAGTTGGAGACTGTTCTTATGAACGTTAAAAAACTAAAGCCAGAGAAATTGCTGGTATTTGTGGTCTTGCAGATTTGGGTCGCTGTCTAAAAAGGAATATGGCCAGACTGGTTTACTTTTTGGATAGTCTGTCATAGAGGATTGTTGTTTTAAAATTCACAAATGTGTAACCAGTGATTTAAAACAAACAAGAAAAAAACCCAATATCCCAAACAAACAAAACTCCTACCATGGAGTCTTCCAAGTTTCTCTATAGGTGTAGGCTGTACAAGAAGGACTGTTAGTGTGTGAATAGGACGTGATTTTGGAAGGGATTGCGTGTAGGTGGTACAGGGATGGGAGTTCTTTGATTTGACTTGCTGAAACCACTAGTGGTTTGCTGCTTGCTTTTTCAGGTCCACCGTTCACTCATCAGCAAACACCACGTAAGATGGTGTATTATGGACAGACTAGTTGTGAGCAGGACACGGAAAGATACCTTGATGTCGTGAAGTACGTGTTCAGCTCCTATAAGAAGGAAGTGCCTTTAGTCATCAACACCATGGGCTGGGTGAAAGGTAAACAGGATAAATCTGTTCTCAAGAGGTGGTGCGGAAGGAAGGTTATAATCGTAGCGGTACACCACCATGCTTTCTAGAGAGTCCGAAACCAGAAAATACAGCTTACCTCCCTTGAGCTAGTGCTGGTCTTCCATAACAGCATTCCGACCTGTTTATGTAGTGGCAGCAATCGTGTTTTCTCTGCTCCCTAAAGGTGAGGGGTTGCTGCTTCTGATAGATATCATTCGGCTGTTGTCACCCAGTCACATTGTTCAGATGGATGTGTACGACTGGAAGGCCATGGCTCCGCTCACCCCAGAGTACGTTCATCTCACTCCTGGCCTGTACACCAAAGGCAAACAGCAAGCCAAATGCAAGCAGATGGGTACAAGTGGAGTGGAGAACTGGAAGCCCTCTGAAGGGGAGGGAGATGCATTGGCTCCCGAGTATAAGTTGCTGTACGTCCATCCAGAATTCCCTCGAGCAGGGGTTGCAGGTGAAGCGTAAGTACAAAGTTTAGTGCTATGTAGTGGTTAGTGGGCTTAACAAAATCATGCGTAGTCCTGATGGTAAAGTCCTGATGCTTTGCTTTGGCCTCAAGAGCTCCATTAAATCAGTCGGAGCTTACTAGTTTACTTATTAGGGGGTTATGTTTGGGTGTTGTTTGTTTGGGTTTTCTGGGTATTGTGTTTGGGGAGAGGTTCATGTAGGGTTGTTTTTTAGGCTGGGGTGTGGAGGGGGTTGTTCCTCCCTACTCTACTTCCAAGACTACTGTCAGTTACTTAATTTTACCCTGGGCATGACTTCCAGGGAATCATTGACTATTATGTCTCCTTTTTTTTCTGATTGGGAGGTTCCTTGCCTATTTCTTACAGACCTAGATGATGATCACATTATTTCTTAATTTCTCTGATACTTTGAGCATTTCCAAAATGTTTATTTTTCTGGACCTTGGGCCTTTGTTGCCAATTTTAAGTGCTTTTTTTGACTCAGCATTCACTAATGAGCTATTTAAGAAAACAAATGTGTTGCTCTGTCTTGTGACTGACTGACTGAAAGGTGTGCGGACATCAGGGTTGGAGAAGGGAGCCATTATCTAATAACAGACTTTGTTTAAAAAATAAAAGAAAACAAACACCACCCTTGTTAATTAATGCCTTTTTAAAGTTGAAACAATAACCTAAATCCTATGATGCCTTAGAGGTAATAAAAACATAGCTCTAAATTTTGTTCAGCGATAAAAGTTTTAAAACCTAAACTTGTGTGAAATAATGGCTAATAGTGCATAGTGTACTTGGGAATGTCCAGGGTATTTGGTTTGAACTGCTGTGTGAGGGTGTGCTGCCTCTCCTTGATCTGTTGCGGTTATTTTTCCAGGCGAGTACATAGCGGCATCTTGCGTGACATGTCCATACTGGGTTACCTGGGTCAGCTGCAGTCCCCAGACGTAGGGGCAGTGCTTCCGCTGCACGGTCTTGTGCCATATCAGGTAAATGAGCGTTTTTGAAAGGCTTGGAGATGATGTAGAGAGCCCAGCGCGTAGTAACTTGACAGTCCTGTTTGTACTGCAAATGTTTTTCAGAACGGGAAAAACGCTCTGTAATCTGCAAAAAGATAATTACTTCATTCAGTGTATCTAGAAGTGAGGTTTTTGTTGAGATGTCAGTGTGGCATGTGTTTTCTGCATGTTCAGTTGTTAGTGTTGAAACTGTGTTTGCCACTGAGATAATGTCTCTCTGCAGGTGTGGGTTGGGAGCTTTTTGTCTACTTGGCATTGTCTCTGAACTTGAACTACGGTGATGTTGAGCCAATGATAGAGTTGTTTTCTTCTTTTTTTTATCCCCTCAGGTACCTTTCAGTGCTGTTGCACTCAGGGTTATTCACACCGATGTTGCGCCTACCAATATCATGTATGCAGTGAATGCCAGCTGGGTCGGGCTCTGCAGGATACCGGATGAAATTAGATGCCAAACGGACGGGCCAGTCTTGCTGACACAGACACCGGTCTGTGATTGCCTTGGCTTCGGTGAGCAAGCCTGGGAAACCTTGAGCTGCATTCTCACCTGTTGTGTTTTGACAGATAGGTTGCAGAGTGATGGAATTGCCTACTCTTTCAAAAACAACTGAAACAGTGGGATGAGATAAAAGAATAATCATGTATTCTCTTCTATTACAAGCTGTGCTTCAAGTCTTTTGGTTTTCATTAACTTGTGGTAACAGCTATGGGGAATATCACTGAGCGGCACCTTTTTGTAGCTTGCTTCTCTCACTGTTTCATAACTTGACGATTTACTTGCTTTCTGGATTGACGTTCTCAAAAGCAGATTCCACGTGGCTTATGCAAAATTCCTTTAGTTGTCTGTCAGTTTCCTTCTACGACTCGATTTAATATTGGAGTTCTGACTTGGAGTTTGACAGTGAGCTCCTCGAGTTTCTGTAGGAATGTACCAATGAACTAGGACAGGCGGTTTGGGAAGTAGCCCTTCGTATGTATGTTGAGATACTGGAAAAGTGCGATACAGCAATGCAGGTTTTTCTCAAGATGTGTCTCAAATCCTTCTCTTGGTTCTAGAAGAGCCATTTATTTAAAGAGCTTCAGCTGCATCTGGTTACACAGTCTGAAATGATTGGGTGGAGTTAAGACTGAACTTCGCGTGTATTTTTTTTTTTTTTCAGGAATTGTCCGTGGGGTTGAGATGGAGAAGAAGCTTTACCACGTTCTGACGCCAGTGCCTCCGGAGAACCTGAGACTAGTAAATTGTCTGCTCCTTGGAAATATTGCTGTCCCAAACTGCGTTCTTGTGGGCCAGGTAGGAGCTGTGTGGGGAAAAAGGTGGAAGCTGGCTGAGCTTAGGCTGGCTGGCGGGTTTTCCATTTTCTTATTTCTGAGGCTTATGCATGCCTGGAGGTGTCTGGGCATTAGCAGATGGTTATCTCTATAGGAAATTGTCCTTAATGTATAGAAACAAGGGAGAAGAGAATGTTCTTCTCATGTTTCAGATACCAGAGTGGGGTTTGTTCGGTGATAGCTTGCCCCTTTCCACTAGTCAGCTTTGTTAGTCTGTAGAGGAAAGTGCTTCCTGCTCCCTTGAAGATACAAGTTCTTAAAGTTATTTCTGGTTTTGTTTTTCCTGTTCTCAGCAAGGAGTTGAGGGAGAGATCCCCTATGTCACATCCGATTATAACTACAGCATCTTGGGGTCTGGAAAGCTGAAAAAGAAGAAGCATTTCAAGAGGAGGGAGTACGCGTTCGAGTGTGATTATGCCTAAAGCCTTGGGGACCTTGGACCGTGGGATTTGTTTCGTAAGGAGACTGGCCAGAGCCAGGTGTGGTCACAGAAGCTCTGGGTGCTACAGAGCTCTGAGAGATGCTGGGCAGGTGTCCGGTGTAGGTACTACAGCATGTCCGTTTTTGATAATGTTTTATATTTTCAGTTTGTATTTTGGTGTTTTGTAATAAATACCTATTAAAAGCATTGGTTTGGTTTGAACTTTTTTCCTCAGCCTGCGTTGACTTGGACACGGCTGATACAAGCTGCAGGTGGTTACTGTCTTGAATCAGAAGCGGTTCTCCGTTTGAAGTCTAGCCTTCGGTTAGTTCTGGGTTTCGGAGAGCAATCTGCAGTGGCGTGAGCATAACTTCACAGTAGCCATAACACTGGGCTGCTCGTGGGCTGGGGAAAAGCTCGTGCCGGTGGTTCTCTCTGGCGCTGCGGCTGACCTGCATCTTTGGGTGTTTCACCCGTCAAGGAGACGGGGAGGAAGGAGCAAGTTAGAAAATCCTCTATCTCTCCCTGGGTGACCGCAGATACAGCCGCTGGAGGGAGTCAGCCGCTCGCTGCTTGTCTGCGCTGTGGTGGCTCGCCTTGGTGACGGCCCCATGCAGCCCTCTGTGGCTGGGGATGCTGCTTCATTCTGCTTCACAGCTGGCTCTGGCCATGTACCCTGTTGCTATGGTTTGCCTTAGGCGCCCGTCTGGGAGGAGCTTTGAGTCTACCTCCAGCTCTGTCTAAATACATTGCAGTACGGGTAGAGGCTAACATGGGACGAAAGTGGGGAGGAACTTGTTACCTGTGTGCTGCATGGAGCACTGGGGTGCTTGGTCTTGCCTGACTCTCGTTACCTGGTCTGTGCCCCACTGGGAAAGACTAGAGGAACTTCTTTTGTTGTTGTTTTTTTTCCCCCCCCCCAGCTTTTTGTTGAGGCAGTGATTTGCTCCTTGAGCGAAGATGAGGTTGGTGGGAGTCACGCAGAGGTGAGTGAGCGTCTCGGGCTGAGTTGAAGACCTTTTCAGGAAAACCACTTCTGAATGGGTGATACTGGCACGTCAGGCATTTAATGGATCCTTGACTGCAAAAATAACCTGGCTTCTGACTGCGGTTCCTGCTAATGCGGTGTTGCTCTGCCCATGTCCCAAAAGCAGGCGGACAGTCCAGCCCCTGGGGTCTGCAGCCCCCCGAGATGGGTGCCATTCAGATTCCCTGTGGCTGGGTCTCTCCTGCGGAGGAAGGAGGGATGCAGCGTGCTGCTCGGTGCCAGATCTTTTTGGCTGGCGGCCGCAGTGGGCGTGAGTAATCGGCGAAAAATGCTTTTATCTGGTTTGCGAGGAGATTTCCTGGTGCTCCAGAAACATGTACCTGTAAACAAATTAAATGGGATGACTAGTGGGGAGGGGATGGAGCTGGAGAGGAGGTGCAAGGGGCTGTGCAGCATTGCTGCCTTTTAAAGAGTTAAAGCTTTAACTTAATCCAGGCCTAATTATCCCCATCTGGCTGGGTCTGGCAGTGAAGGAAGGACTTGGCTGGCAAGCTGGCCCACACAGTGTCTAAAATAAATACAGGGGCCATCGTGCAGCTGGGGGTAAAATCCCAGGCGGGGCGAGGCAGGGGTTCAAGTCACAGGGGAGGGGTGGAAAAGGTGCTGGGAAAGGTGAGACAGGTGAGCAGCGCAGGTGAAACACCCAGCGCCACAACCCCCCGGGGCCGAGCATCCCCCTTGGTGCTGTCCCTGGCGCCCCAACATCTGCCTTGCCCAGCCAAGGG